TAATCGTGGGAATTTCAAGTAAGCTATTTATCAATACAGGCATAACGATAATACTATGATAACAGGTAAAAACAGTTGATATTCCATTTTTAGAAGGTAATTAAAATGCGACTCTACTACCACGCGCCATTTTAATCAAGCATGATATCATTCAAAAACGAGAGTTCGAGCCATTAATCGGTAATTGTACACAATTGAGGGCAAATTTGAACGAATTGACACGTTATTTACAAATCATCTTACATTTTTCATCTTTTTTTTTATTAAACCCTCCTGAGGGGACGCCAGATAGTGTACTTTATTTAGTCACTTTTTATCATTATAGATTCACCCGATTCGGATTACTCATATTACGTATTAAATTTAAAATTTGTACCTTCATCAATTATTAAATTGCTCCAATAAAGTACAATGATATCGATAGATATCGATTTGATTTAATACGTGCTACTCTAATAAATCCAATGGCCTTATTTAAACTTATCCGATTAAATGCTTTATTAACTTATTTGTAAAAACAACACCTTTAAAGCAAAAAAAAAATCAATTAAAAAACTCTTTTGATCATATACGTTAAAAATAGTATAAAAAAACTCTTAATACTTATCCCTGTATAATTAACTTTTTTTTTTTTTTAGAAACAATGCCCAAGAGAACAACTCTTACTGATGCACAAAAACGCGATTTTTGTGTCTATGCTCGTAAAAATAAAAGAACTCAGTCTCAATATGTTAAATGGATTGAGGACAAGTGGAATTTTACAATTGATGAAAGCACAGTTTCGCGTATTTTAAAAACAAGTGATCAACGAATTGGAAATAAAATTGTTAATTCGAATACAAAGCGTCACAGAACTACTACTTATCCAGAACTTGATCTTGCCCTTAAAGAGTTCGTGCTGATTTATCAGCATCAAACTGTTTTAAGTGATGCTTTGCTTATCGAAAAAGCAAAAGCACTTGCTAATGGTTTGGAAATTCCTCAAAGAGCGCTAAACTTCTCCCCTGGCTGGCTTTATAAATTTAAAAGTCGAAATGGTATTCATCTATGTAAACTTCAAAGAGAGGCTGCGTCTGCTGATGAGGTAGCAATTGATGAAATGTTGCTTTTGATAAAAGATAAGTGTGCAAATTACTCTATTGAAAGAATTTACAACATGGATGAAATGGGTCTTTTCTATCGATATAAACTTCTCATCTATGTATAGTTATGTGAATATAATTTAATGGATTTGAGACTTTTTTTTAATTATTTTAATAA